GTACCTACCCTATACGCCTACCCCTAAAACCTCTTAATATTTTAGCCAATATGAGTTTTGTTTTCTTTTTGACTCCGTCTTATTTACATTTATATATGCTAACAAATTTATTATACTTTACTTCAATGTATATATCAGCAAAATTAATAATATATATTAATATATAGGTTGTCAAATATCTCCCTTCCGCTTTTTTGCTCTTGGTTTATAATACAAAAAGGCGGAAGGGAGATATTTGACAACCTTAGTCCTTAGTCTAGACTAGTTTTTTAAATGTTCTCAAAACTCATAATATTGAGAAAAAGGGCAAAGAAAACGATCAAGCTGTAATAAAGATCTTTCGACTAACGTCCACAAAGTTGCGGAAAGTCAGAGAAGAATGCAATATATTTTAACCAACATTATCTTTTAAGTTTTAGTCTGGTGTTTTAGTGTAAATAATATCTAAACTTGATATAATTGTTTCAAAAAAAAAAAGATGTATATGTAATGTCTAATTAGCATTACAGCTCAATTCGTAAAATAAAAGAATAAATAAAATTATTTTTTCATTAGAATGGCAAACGAAAATTCAATAATAGTTATAAATTATATTAATTTTAATTTAATTATTAATAGTTTTAGCTTCCATAAATATATACATGACTTTCAATAGATGAGTGAAGATTATTGGATGAATGAAGTAAACAAGAAATTAGGTACAATGGTATACACAACCAACAAAACACTAATACTAAATACTGTTTATTTATCGTTAAATTTTATCGTAAAAATAACAAATACAGAGTGCAAAATATTTTTTGACTGTAATATAAAATGATATCGTAATAATTTATACCGCCTAACAATTTACTAATATCTACTGAAATTATCTACGCCGACGCACACATCCACAATTCTCAAGTCGTAAAATATCGGAAATTTGTCAGAAGGCGGTTGACACTAAACAAAATATCCGGCCGGATATTGATATTTCAGTATATTTTGCATCAATCAACATTTTGTGCGTTGCACGTGTAAAATGCATTTATTTCAAACGCGATGCAAGTAAAAGCCATAATCGATTATCAGAAATTGTGAAAAACGACTGTGATGAATATGCATGAAATGTTTAATTAACTCGACTATTTTATATTTATCATGAATGGTTTTAAATGAGAAAATATAAATCAATCAATATACACCACAAAAATTTAAATTTAAATAAATTCAATAATTGACATATGTAATGGTCGAATGAATACCACAATTTCGAACCAAAATTTGTGAAAGCGTTTTTACAACTTAATATACATAATTGTTGTGATCTAAACTAGTACGTCAAGAACTGCAATCAAGAGCATATATTTTCAATTAAAAACAATTTTTCATCCGTTATGGTGGCAAACGTTTATAAAATCAATAGATATTTTACACTTTTGAATAAATGGCTATTTTCAGTATTTAATTATTATTATTGAATAGAATATTTATATTTGAATTATAATTTATATAAAAGATTCAATTTCAAAATATATGCACACATGTCTAAGTATAACAATATAAAAAATATAGTTTTTGTTATAAAAATAAAAAATGGGCTAATAAAAAATTTGGATTGACAAATTGGACACATTTACCATGTATCCATATATGTAGCTTTAAGCTCTATATACTGAGATCTGTACCCTTGCCATTTCTGGCCTATAGACATATAACTGATACGCATTTATTATAAAATTTGGCAACAATATGCTCATTTCTTTATTTATTATATATATGCAAAGCGATTTCTTTCCCTACGGGTTTTGAATTACAAAGTGAAAGCTGTAAGAATCAAACGTAGATCCGTTTGCTGTTATCAAATATATCGCAAAGCTTTGTCACAATCCCCTCTTGCAAAGCACACGTGCAAACACACGAAATTAACCATTTCATTTGAATATCGCCATAGAGGAGACCGGGACTAAATTATTTAAAATTATGTAGTATCTCAATAAATTATTTGGAATTAATCATTTATTCTGAATTTTTGTTTAACTAATAGAAAAAATAACTGTAAAAATATGTTAAAATTAAAATAATAATCACACAATTTTAAAAATACAATAGAAGACCTTTAGTTCGGCTTACTCGGGACCGACCTCTGCGTCGGATTATCGAAAATTCCGGACTATCCGTCGATAATTATAAAAACAAATAGATTAATAATCAAAGTACAAAATCAGTAAAAAATATTAACAATAAAGCTTATGTTACATTCATTAAAATATATATTTAAATCATTGTTAATTTTTACAAAAAAAAATGATAATTTTTAACCGTTTGATGATTCTAGTTTATGATTCAAGAGTTAGGGTCGCAACAATGCCCTTCCGAATGATTCCGAACCACCCTGAAAACGTTCATATAGCTCTCGAGCGTTTTCAATTTGTAATACGAGCACATCTATGAAAAAAGAAAATTTTTCGAAAAAATGCCATCCCGAACTGTTGCCGGACTAAAGGACTTCTAAGAAATTGTATGCAAAATCAAGACGTTTTTACTGAATTTATCGTTAATTGCCAAAGAATTTTCTGAAAGAAAATATTTTGCATCATTTAGTTGAATTTTTATATAAAAACAAATCATGAATATGTGTGAATACTCATTGCCTAAATCATCAAACAATAATTGAGAATTGTCTACATCCATTTTTGTTTTGCTGGCCAACTTTTTTCAATTTTACCTGATAAACAAGAAAAAATGAACTACAGAGGCTTGGAGAAGAAATGTTTGCACTAAATTTTATGTAATATAAAGCGGAAGAAAGCCAAAGTGTTAGTGGATTACTGATACTATTGTTCTATATTTATTTCAAAATTTAACTGCTTTTGAACCTGTTGCAGTTACAATATTTCGAAAAGAAAGTTTTACTTATTCAAAGAATGTTCTATTCTAGTTGCAAAACTAAATTTAAATCAATATAATTTGAAAGATTTTTCAATCATGTTGAATCATATCAACAGAACAACAAAAAAATGTCATTTTTGAAAAACCGAATAAACAATAACAGTTCAGAATTCTCAATACTTAACTCATAGGGATCTTGAAGGAAAGGTCGACACACTGCATGCCGTTTATAGGCGACACCCGTACACAGGTCGTCATGCAGATGTCGTCTATAGACGACACCCTTACACGCATGTATTCAAGTGGATGTCGACTGTCGTAATAAAAACGGTAATATTTGAGTTCTCGACGTTTTTTTATTATGTATAGAAAAGTTATGTATGCAAATAACATTGCTAATAATAATATCATTGATTATGATGGCGTGTTTCTTTCCAGGTGTTCTGCTAGTGTGTCGATGTCTCTTCTATTAGTCCAGTCCTAGCTGTAAATACTCTAAAATAGCATCGTAAAAGTTGTCTTAAAACCTACATATGGTAGGGTGTACGTACGTACGGTTTTGAAACAACTTTTAGGGTGTTTACAGATTTAAAGCTGGGTATCTCGAATTCCGAGATTCTTACCTAATTTGAGCTTAAATGACTGGACTATATTTGAATTGTACGCCGTTGTCTTTGTTAAACGGATTGTATAAAAATATACTGTCAAAATAAGCGCCAACTTAAACTCGAGCTAAAGTAAGACAAAGTCAAACAAAAAAAAAACAATTTAAATTAGTATAGCTTTATAACGCTATCAACCCGTACTCCCTGTAAGTGCAAGTCAATGTACGAGGCGATCTTTGTTCTCGTCGTTTCCATTTGCTAATTCTTCTAACAACGCAATTGCCTGACCAGCGCCTAGGTTCCGCGAAGCTTTTATAATTTTGACAATCGACCTCTGCCGTAGGAAATAACCAACTTTAGTTCTATTCTTATATGATTTACGATCGCGCAGAATGCGAGAACAATGAAATTTCATTGCCAAATGAAAGACAAATGCCGAGGAATGTAAATATCGCGTTGTTGTATAAAGTATAAAGACGGGCCTGGTTCCGAAATGAAAAAACAAGATATATAAAATGCGGGACAAGCGAAATGAACACACAGTATGAATTTCGTTATAAGTCCGTTCTGCTCGACTACAAAGCAGGGACCGTTTTTTATTGTGACGTTTTTATGACATTTCTTCTGTGTATTTTTTAATACTATTGTTCGTTTACGAACGAATTAATTTTGTTTTAGGATTTTTGTTATATACGCGTAAATTTTACTGCCAATTCTTAGTAGGAACCCATAGAAACTCGAAACATTTTGAATAAAGCTAAAAATACATTTATAATTGATATATCTAATTCAATTAGATAAATTAGTCTCAAGATAAATATATCAAATTTTGTTTCTTTCTATAAGTTTAATAAAATGTTACGAAATCAGTGTTATGTTCGTTGTACTAGCACGCTTCAATGTGCGAGAGAGAAACATTTGAACTGAATGTAAGCGAAATGTTTATTTTTCACTCGAAATTTTTCAATAATAAAACTATCATATATTTTAACTTTATTACTTTATTACTATTAGTATTTTACTTGATATACGATAAAATTTGGCAGCGCACCTTAGTAGATTTTTTTAAGAAAAAAGAGCCCCTCAAGTCGACTGATTTCTTTAAATGTTAAATTGATGTTTCAACAATAGTCTTAATTCATGAAAACTTAAGACAATTGTGTTTTTGTTCTTGACTGTGGTCCTAGAACTGTTACGGTTACAAAGTTTAAATGACAAAATTAGTAAAAATTAACCACAAATAATTTCACTAAAGCTCTAGGTTGCACTTCAAAGCTCATAATTTCCAAGCAACGTGAGATAATTTTTTTCTAATTTTTTACAGGACAGTTGAAGTCAATACTGCCACCCCGTTTTGGTTTGACGTCAAGATCTCGGAGACCCTGTATATATATAAAATCTATTATATATAATATAATTTTATTTTAAGATGTCACCCATATATATGAATATAAATAAATACACGTGACAGGTTTTTTCAATAAAATTTTATTGTACATAAACATTTGGTACTCATCTTCTCCTGGAAAGTTTTTTTCATTGGATTACAGCGTTCACTAATCCAATGTGCTCATTACATCTACGTTCATAAAAATATAAATCTGTACATGTATAAGCGTTAGTAAGTGATGTTTAGAATGTGAAATATAATATATAAAACATTAAAATATATATCAGTATCCAATCTTTCCGATAACTCTTAGTTATCAGAGAATGAATATAACGAAAAATATAAATTCTAAATCGGAAAAGTTGTATAAAACCTCTATACTGACTCTCCAATATGCGCGCTCCTAACTCAGATCACATGAAGGTACAAAAAAAGTTCAGGAAAGTGGCGAAAACGATTCTTCTGAGTGAATTCGACGAATTAATATTACGAAAATTTGGAATATTTCTTTATGTGTGCGCAATCGTAACCATCGCTATGTGGGCATAACGCCCCTAAGCTGATGGCACTGCTGCTGAGGTGGGTATCCGAAACATTCCTGATTGTCCAAATCGGTGTATTTGGTCTCTTCTTCGCCGCTCAAATCGAAGCTATTGTCTTCGATTTTTGGAACCGATATATCGGTCGGATGACCGAAAGTATTGATATCAGGTAAAATGTGCATTGTGTCGTCTTTTGCACTTGTCATGTAAACATCAGCATCGTGCTTTAACACAGTATTTCTATAAAAAATAATAATAGAAATTAATTTATTTTAAAAGCATTGAAAACACTCTTTCTTAATTAGTTAAAGTATTCAGGTAAAATATAAAATTCACAAAATTCAAATATTTATAATGACTTGGGACAAAGAAAATTATGGACCGGAGAATTTAACCTCTTATAATTCTTTAGACAGTCGACTAATAAAAACATGTTTTTCCTTTTTCTATGACAGTATATTTTTTTATTATTATATTATATATTAGAAATCAATTTGATATATATATATAAAAATAAAAATGAAAAAAATATGTTCAAACGTTATGTTATAATGTAAGAAAATTGCAATATTGAATAATTAGTGTCATAAATAATTGTTGTAGATATCAAACCATAAATTATTTTAACAAAATTAAGAAAACCGAATTAACAGTTGTCAATAAAAATCACAGATACAACACTTTAAGTAAATTAATATTGCCGCAAAGAAAATCATGACAGACATAACATTAACCTAAAAAATCAATGACGACAAGACACTTTCTCAAAGATAAGCAAAATGTATCACTATGATTATTATTTGTATGTGAAAATGGATGGATGTTTTATTTTCGTAGTCATTTTAAATAAATAAATAAATAAATAAATAAATAAATAAATATATATATATATATATATATATATATATAAATATATTATTTAGAATGGGATATCATAAAAATATCTGCGACATACATCAACGAAATAGGTAGTGGCTGTCACCGCCTGTCAACCAAGTTACATTGGTCTAGTAGTAGTAATCAGAAATCAATCTCAATACTCAAGTGTAGGGTTGAAATATGTATATATTCATGCTAAAACCGTCCTTAAGGTCTTTCTGATGTGGTTGTTATAATATATATTTGCTTATATCCTTGCGTTCTTAAATACGAAGTTAGTAATGTGCTAATATGCTCTTAATTATTATAGATATTAAAAAAGCACTGCAAAACTATCAAATGAAAAATATTACCTACAAAATGGAAAGCGAGAAACCCAATGTTGAATAATTGAAGAAGAGCAATACGAAGAAAAAAGCTAGTGAGATAAATTATTCACATAATTTCAATAATATCTAATTCATTTATGTTTTATAATACTAATAATAATAAATAATAACTAGGGCAGGACCGTTAGCTGAGTGAGGTGTGAAACTCCAACTCGATTCAGAGAAGAATAATGTGAAAGATTTGACATTGCCATTTCACACTGCCATGCCCAAAATAGTCTTATTTTCAACTGGAAACATATTTTATACTCAAAATAGGTTGCCACACTAGGCCGCGCGGTAACCGGTTACGCATCCATAATTTATATGGTAATAAAATTAAAACGAGTAATAATATAATATGTTACAAATAATAAAAATATAATAATAGTAAAATCCAATAGCAAAACCTCTGATTAAAAAAAATGAAAAAATGTGACGTATTGTGTAATTAACTATTATATCTACACTAGCAATTTAATGTTCCAAATTAAAACAGGGTAAAATGTTGTACCAATATTTACATAAAACCTATTACTGTGCCTAAAAAAATTAGAAAGAAGTATTAAAAACTATAAAAAATAATTCGTCATTAAAATCGTCAATTATTTGAAAGTATTTTTACTTAAAATATAACAGCAGTTAATATTATTTCAATTAAATAAAATTAATGTTATTATAAGTGAAACAAATAGCAATCAAATCCAAAAGTGACATAGCTAAATTGATGTTGCCCAATTAAATATTCTTTGCTATAACTTTAATATTTATCCTCATTTGATGAAATTATTTGTAAGAATTAATTTTTTAGTGAATACAGATGCAAACCCGTTATTAATTTGAGACAAAAAAATTGACAAATTTCAACCAATTGCGGGTAGTGAAGGTTTTTTCGAAACTAAAAAAATTGTAAGGATTTAAATTTGATAATAAAAAAAAAGTTTATCATTTATTCATTGAAAATTGTTCAGGTTATTCAACATTTTCATTGTCCACATATAAATGGCGCACCGTGAAGTATTTCCAAGCATTAATAAATTTTGTAAAGTATTAGTTGAAGAATGTATTATAAATACTAATCCAAGAATTATTAATAATATTTTGCTACAATAGTTAAGTAATTAGTTTTCATCGAAGACCTCTGAAATATCTAGTTATGTGTGTCGAGGTAAATCAAAACGTAAATCGCAGCAATTAATCACTGATCATAAATTAAAAACGAATAGTATTCATGCAATTCCATAAAACTCCATGTATTTGCATTCTCGAAAAGTACCCCGAGCAATAAATCTTCAAGGACACAATTCAAGCACGTGTTCAGCTCTGTAATCGGTAGAAAAATTACACATTGATTGAAATAATAATTGAACACACCAACGCGCGTTGTTGTTTAACAAGAACTTATTGCAAAGTGCGTTTATCTGCCTTCGCGATCGAAATAAGCGTCCACATTTAATGTTTTACGCTGATATGATGTGGGAGGCAAGCAATTATCAAGATGATAGCAAATAATTAGTAACTGCCGTACATAATCTATCGAATATACGTGCATACAAAGAACTTAACTATGTAGATGAATCAAGTAATTTAATATCAACAATAAATTCAATATGTGTTCAATGTTGAGAGGTCGGAAATGTTACGTTATATAAGCAAATGAGATGCGACCTTCGATGCTTTATAGTAGTACGTTACGTGTATATAAGAGCTTTTGGAATTTACGGTTTTAGATGTATTGGACATGAATTAATAAAGAAGTGCTTTAAAGATGATGAGAAAGCGTGCATATTGCACATTATCTTATAGTTAATACTCAACGAAAGTAAAAACGATAGTTTATAAATATTGTTCGGAAAATATAATTTATTGAGAGAAACAATTGAAGATAATATGAAAAAAAAAAACAAATAATATCAAAGAATTTAAAATATGATACTAATTATACGAAAAAAATCTAAATATACTATTTTTATATAATACTCGTATAGCAGCTTGCAACAATTAAATCCAAAAGTATATTATATTAAGCAGATCAATTGAGTCCTCGGTTTTAATGTTATTTATTAGAAAAAGTTTGTGTATTTGCTCATCCTGTAACCTCACTTCTTTATTTTTTAACATATCCAATTTAGAGCAATATTTATATTGTATCAGTTGTTTTATTTATTTGGTTATATGTTTGAAAATAAACATGTGATCCTAAAGAATTCAAGGATACGTGTGAAAAACAGATGAATATTCTAATGCATTGAGTTATATATGACAACAATTAGTTTATGATTATTATACTATAATATAAGATTATAGTATATTTCAAATACGTTGATTTGGTTCCAAAAATACTTCAATAACTTTTAATAGTAGGCGAAACTATGTATTTACATATGTTTAACAAGAAAAAGTTGTCTGTGTTGGGTGTGCGGCGTATGTTTTCTAATGTAGTTTTTAGCCCTGATCAGGATTATAAAGTCAAAATTAGAGGTCAAATGGAAAAAATAAAAAAAAAATTTAAAAATCGACAACATTTTCCATCTAGTAATTCTTCTCTATCATAATTAAATCATATAATTTATGTCATTTCCTGGCTTTTTTGACCTCAAATAACTATTGAGGTTTTTTCGTATAATTCAGTAGTAAATTGCAGACATTCACTCATTGTCATTGTCCCTGAAGAATCTGTAAACACACTTGTAATTGAATATTTGAAAATATGCCTAAAAATTAATGCTGTGATCTACAGCAGTAAGCATGAGCTATAGATCATCAGGTGAAAAAGACCAGAAAATGACAGAAATTATAAGATTTTAATTATCACGCAGAGGAATTACTAGATCAAAGATTTTTCCGTTTATTTAGAACAAATCGATTTTTTGCCATATAACCCATAATTTTAAGTTCAACGATAGAACATACCCAACACAGACAACTGTTTTTTGTGGACCTGTGTAATTACAGTTGAAGTAAAGTGGGTTTTCTTGTTTTGATGCTGTCAAGCAACATTTTACACAAAAGTTAATATTTTTGTCTCAAATTAAAATCTTTTATTGAAAATTATTGGTAATAAAAAAAAATATAAATTATAATGTCTTTCTGGGCTCGCCCGTAGGTAAGCGGTTAAGAGCGACGGAACTTGTTTCAGAGGTCCCGGGTTCGATACCCACTTCGAGCAGCCTGTTGTCAGGCAGCAGTGACAACGATTTTCACTTGGAAATATAGATACCAATATGTTTCCAAGTGAAAATAGCCCTTGCCCGGCATTGCTGCACCAATAAAAAGTCAGCCCTATTAGATTAATTCTAATAACAAAAATCATCAAATATGGATGGATTAACCATTGGGTTACCATCTAAAAATACGAAGTAAGGAGAAGTTTCAGCCCAACAGCTCATAGGACGTAAGGTTCTGATTGTTGTTAAAAAAAAAAAGAAAATAATAATAATAATGTCTTTCTAGTTATGCGAAGACTAAAACTTGAAATATAAGACCCGAGTTCAACATACGAATTTGAAGTATTTGAGATTGATATCTGATTATTGCGCAAGCTATTAAAGTAGAATACAAATTTTGATCGAGATTTAATATCTGTTTCTGATAAAATCATGCAGGCGAGATTTTATAAATAATATAACATTAAGCAAATATTTTAATATGCACCTCAAAACATCGTCGGTGAATCCGTTGATGGAGTCCGCTCCAATGTAAGGATCGACCGGCGTGGCGCTCTGCAGGTACATAGGATTGGAAGAACAGAAAGAGGCGTACGACTGACTGTAGTTTGTCAGTGTGACATCATTCTGCTTCCTCAGACACGACGGCGAATGCCTGGTCAACATGTCGACAAGTTGCCTGACCTGCGCGTCGAGCTCTTTGATCTGCGCCTTCAGATCTACATTCTGGGTCTCGAGTACCGCGGACTCGGAAACGAGATTCACCGTCCGTTCGCGTTTTTTCTGCCTACACTTGGTCGCGGCGATTTTGTTCCGCTCCCGTCGCCGCCTACGCCGCTCCTCGTCCTCGGGCGTCAGCTGCAAGCAAGAAATGCACGCAACGCACCAGGTGAAGCAAGATCATAAACGTAGGTGACTATAATTCTAGCCTAACGCGGATTCAAGTGTCAGACCGAGAAGTACAGTGCCAAGATCAAGGACGATTGTTAGGCGTCTCAAATAATAATAATGCATAGATGCAAACGGTTATGTATTAGGCGATTCGCGATTCGCACAGACCGACCTTCGTCTCAGCTAATTAACATAATATGCTATTGTTACAAAATTCAGATTTATTGTACTAACATTTATTATTTAAATGCGTGAAACACTATTGTTTTGTGCATTTTGATGACCTTCAGTGCTATCTTAATGACATACGTATAAAAAATAGAAATAAAGGTTTATAATGGCATACATTGAATTCTTATATATAGTCGTTTATGTTATATATGTAGATTTCTATTTTTTCACCAATTTTATTAGTAAAATCGAAATTATTATACATTAATTTAGGTAATGTTCTCGAAGTACACTTATCCCCCGTTTTACAACTTCACTTTTGCATGGAAAAACCTTGCTGAACGAAAACCACCATAAAGAGCCGTTTTTGTCAGTTTTTAATGTGATGAATAACAAACATATAAAACGAAAAATAAATATTAATACATATATTTAATATCAAACACATTTAATCATTTCAATATTATTTAAATGATAAAATAAATTAAAAAAGGTATTTTACGCTATCAATTATATATGAACACTAATTAAAAACAAAGTTTTAAAAGGATAATGCTCTTTGTTTTGGTATTTCCAACAAACTAGTTTATACACATATAAAAATTAGTTTTGATCATAAAACGAGGAGTTTGCATCTTATCTACATATTTCAATCATAGACATAGACTACTAAGAATTCGTAATTGTAACATACATTTTGTTGTGTTGTCTTTTGACAGTAAAATATTTTGACAGTAAAGCAATGGATAAAAATATAAGAAAAATATAGTTTAGTATTTATAATTTCGTGCAAATCCTAAATTAATGAAATTTTGTTAAAAAGCTTTTATTTTGACAGCTTAAAGTGAGATGTATATCACAAAGATGTATATCACAAAGCATTCAAACTCTTATGTAACAATTTTTTAACTATTTATCATAGAGCCAGATATTGCAACCAACCCGTGTATAAAGTGATATCAATTACTACATTAAATTAGTTACTACGATTTTTATTAACTTTTATATATTTTTTCATTACAAATTGATTTAGTGGTTAAGTTTGCGCTTGATAAATAATGCTTCAAAGGGTTAAACACTTTTTAACATTTTTAATTGAATCACCAATTACCCTAGTTAATTTTTTTTCCACTTGAACTATAAAATGATCTGTAAAGTATATGCACAGTATATAACACGTGATCTTAAATATGTTTTTCGAAAGTAACGCTGTATAGTAATAAAAAGGATTATTACCACAGTATTATATTTCTCATTACGTGCTCTATCCAATTTCATTATAAAAAATATATATATCAAATTTCTTGCCATCTGCGCATGTAAACAAACCATTTAATAATTAAGAATATCTAAAACTAACTACTAATAAGAGTATATTATAATTCAAGTATTGTCCGTGTCGGAATTTATCAACTAAACAACGAATGCTATTTGTTTATATCTTAGCTGATTGTATATTTATTGTTTTTATTCCCACGGGCTTATTAATCAACAGTCCTGTTCGACAAAATAGTAAACACTAAACAATTCAAATATAAACTTAAATGATTTCACATATTTATGAATGTGTTAAACGATAACAACTCGTTCAATTATTTTGTTATATATTTAATTCATAGTAGTTACAATGATTTATTTATATTTAATAATATTTAATTTAGATAGTGTTGAATAGTATTTGTTATAATTTACTAAATGGATCATTTAATTTTATTTGATTATTCAATATGAATATACTATATCGATACTTCAATATTTAATTGTCAAATTAAATGCACTGTGAGTGTTTTTTTTTTAATTTAAAATTTTGTGCCATTATATCATTACCTTGTTCAGTACGATTAGTTTGTCAATACTTTAGTACTTATATTAGGCAAATTGTGTAATAGTACAGTATCAAAAAAAATTATAAATGTACGACACAAAAGAGTTGGCAAATAGTTGGTAAAACATCGGTTACCGATATTAGCATGAAATTAAACAATTAAAAACACATACGAACAAATTTAATTATATTAATCGAATTTGATAGAGAATTTAAATAACACAAATAGATTTATTGTGGTTTAAACATAAATTTCCATGCAAACAAGTGCTTTGATAACACGCCTTCAGCAATTCACATGTCCACAATGCTTTATTCCGTTGAATATTCATTAATTTCTGTCAAACTGCAATATTTGAAATATACACAAATATCATAATGTGTAGTGCCATGTTTAATATCCTATCACTACTACACTATTGATAAAAATTCAATCAAATCATTAATCCGAGTAATAAATTGTGTACGTTTTGGACAAATAGAGATTGTTTTGCAAACATCAGTTAGCTTGTGTGCTTTTAATTGAAATTCGAATCGCTTTGGGTATCGAATTATAAAAATTGACACATGCAATTATATTGTTATTTAATAATGTACATAATTGATTTATGTCAATAAGAGCCAGAGGACAATGATGATATTGTTGATAATTAAAAATATAATTGTACAACAACGCTTATAACTATGTGGATCATGATAAACATATCAAATTTGTAAATGAGAATATAATGAAGTACGAATCAAGCTAATTTAATGAACATTTAGTGAAATATCTATTATGCGCAAATATAATTCAAAATGCAAATTGTTAAAATATTTATTTTAAATATGGTTTTACTTCTTACTTCTATTATTGAAGACTATTGTACTTTCACATAATTATTATTCAATGTATGTCATTACTATGAATTATATTTCATTGCACTCATTATTCAAGTAGATACAACGTATATTATACATTGCTAACATTACAGCACTAACACATTAACACACTAACAATAAAATTGAATAATTTTTACCTTATGTAATCTTACAATGTGAACTGATTAAAAAAGCGATACTCAGATAAGATTTAATGAATTTAAACGAATGACTTTAATGAAACTAAATCTTTGTGTATTATTTGTTATGTTTGAAATTAAAAATTGCGTTAAACAACAAAAAATATTCACACCAAATATAGAGGAGACTGGGTACGGTTGTGCTAGGGTACGGTAGTGACAGTCGTCAAAACAGCTGAACTATACTGATTTTGAGATAAGGTCCAAAGGGAGCAAGATAAAGTATGTTTGTTCGAACAAGTTTACAATATTCATCTGTAGACAGGCAGTTAATTGTATACAGATAGACCACTTTGTTTGTTATTTTGCTACATTATTTTGAACATTAGTAGTTAATTACCAGCAATTAGTTTTATGTATATATTGTGACATGTATATATTGTGACATGCACTTCTTGTCCTTTTTGGGTAAAATTTAAACAGACAAGGAAAAATCTAACATAAATAAGACAAAATATAAAAGAGAAAGCGAGAAGAAAATTCAATACAAGAAAACAAAAGATTTTACAAAAATTTCTTGTTTTAAAAATTATGTTTTTTTATATATTGTTTTATTATTTTCTTAACCTTTGTTCATGTTGTGTTGTGTTACACATATCTGACAATAAATCGTCGTTATAAACTATTTTGGTACTTATAGATATTGTTTTTTAACCTAATTATATGCCTGTCATATCTGTTCTTCGGGTGTGGACAACTGTGACACTCGCCCTTTTATTGTATAATATTAAGACATTATATTTAAAGACAGTATTTCAGCATTTCCTTGTATTGTAAATGTTCAAATTTTCATTCAATTGACTTTTCTCCTAGCTAACAAGTAAATTGACAAAATTGTTGCTGACAAAAAAAGTGGCACAACCGTACCTAATCACCCCTGCTCAATACACATGTAGACATAATGTATGTAAACGATATATTTCATCGTTTTCAAGTGTATATAAAAATAAACAAAATCAATAGTGTTTCATATATATCTAAATCTCCATTATATGAATTTCATAAGAAAACGATTAATAGTCCAGAACGTTTTACTTCATCCTTACAACAACATGATTAAATGCAGCCGGCATGTAATTAAAGAACTTATTCACATTTAGCATAACATAAATAATATGCCATTAGCGAAGAGTAATGAATAAATGTAATTACCTTACGATTGACAAGATGTGAAAATTTTTCTGATATTAATTGACTCAAGTGATTATTCAAACGGCATAATTCAGTTAACCTTGACACAATAGAAGACTGTATGTACAATTGTGTTGCGCTTTGCCTCGCCTAGATTTGATCTATAATTTAAATCAAGCACGGAGCCACTCTGTTATTTTATTCGTGCGGCAAAAAATTCTATGGCAATTTAAAATTCGCGGCGGAATGAGCACATGAACCGCAGGCGAGAGTATTACGACGAACAAGATTCTATTAGCTATTATACTCGTATATTACGTTCTGATTGCGATGGCAAATAATTCTGTAATTGCTTCCACGAAAATATCCTATAGATTCTCCCTTTTTTTGTTCGGTTTATTGATTAATCATCTTAAAAAATCAAAGAATTAAAAACATCTGCAACTCTATTATCTGTTGCATTGTATTATCAATTGAATATATATTCTTCAATGATGTCAATATCTATCAGTAACTTTCTTGTATCTAAATTTCAAAGAGCTTTAACAAACCAATACAAAGTAAATCTTCGTGAAGTAGACTAGTGCAACAAATAATATGTAAAGTTATACCTGATGTTAACAAAATTATTGCTGTTATAAGTCGCACAGACTAAAAAATCGTTTAATCGTTTATTCAACAACGATTATTTTCTTTATTTTTATCAAATCATACTAATCGTAAAATTATAAGCTTCCTTTAATTATTGCTATATGCCGTTAATATAAGACAAATTTAAACTGACAATGAAATCAATGTTTTTTTTTAATATTTTTTAGACTTTTATTTAATTTATCAAAAATAAATGAACCGCATTTTTTTAAAATTTAGTAAATAGTTTGGTATAGCAAACACGTCATGCCAAACTATTTACTGATCCATCCAGAGATGTAGTTAGAACACTTTTATTTTGCAACATACTGATATATTTTTTTTCAAGAATGGTCAAAACTATTTTTTGTCGCATAAATAAAATGCACTGTTTTCTATTTTGATATTACATATAAATGTACTGATGCAAAAAATCTAACGAAGAAGTATAATACCCAAAGGCAGACTTATGTACCAATCCCCCATATTATGTAGTGCCTATACATTTTATATATTAAACTAGCTGTAAGTGGAATTCTGTCTTAAGGCAATTAAGGCATCGTGCCTTAAGGCAAATTGCTGGAACTTCCCGTACCAAAATTTTTTTTTTAAAAACGATTAAGATTTTTGAAAAAAATTTACTTTGAAAAAATAAGATTTTTGAGAAACTATATATTGGACAAAAAATTACTTTTTTTTGAAAAAAAAAAAATTTTTTTTATTTTTTTTTTTTAAAAAAAAATGTTTTATTTTATTTTGACATATTTTGGAAGATCTAAACTTTTTTTCAGAGCAATCGTACTGCTTTAACTGCATAAAGACGAAATATCAAAGCCCGTAAGCGCCGCGTCGCCGTCTAACGCGTAAACATTGGTACGGAACCCATAGAAATGTAAAAAAAATTTATACTTATTGTTAAAATCTCTATAAAATATTTGATAATTTGATGTGCATATGTCTAATGATCATTTTTGACCGCCAAATGGCATTTTTTTTTACTTTTTTCATCAGATCTCCGAAACCGTTAGACCTGCCTTCATGAAAATTTGATCAATTCTTTATCTTGTCAATACAAGTAAAATGTTTTTTAAAATATTCAAATCGGACGCTCCGTTCTCTTAAAAACTGAGTTACCGTTTTCGGCACTTTTTGCCCCGTATCTTTGGAACGGCTAGACCTGCTTTCGCCAAAAACTAATCAGCACGTCTCCTTATTAATACGAATCGAATGTTTTTTGAATTATTCAAATCGGTTGATCCGTGTTCCCGAAATCGTCGACGAAAATTTGTATCCGCACATACATACACACACGCACATACATACATACATACATACATACATACATACATACATACATACACACACACACACACACACACACACACACATACATCCATTTTTTCTAAGGTATGCCAAAATGTTCAGAAACCTCTGAAACGTAAAGATATATAAACATTTTCATTTTCGATTTTTTTGCGATTACTATAACTTGCCCTACGGGAAGTTAAATATATATTTTTGAAATGCAAAAAAAAACTGAATGAACGTTGAAGTATCACAACAAACTAAACTCATCCAAAAATCGTGAATTCCAATTCCTGATATCCGCAAACCCAATTCTCTATATTATTGTTCAATCTAATCCGGTAAATACTACCCTATCATTATGTTTTATATTTAAAAGCGTTATTGTGTAGTACAATAGCATATTTCAAATATCCAATATGTGTTTATGTTTAAATTACCTGTGACTTTAAATTAATTTTAAAGCATTTTCATTCGCACCTTATTAAAATCTTATTAGAGTTGACGTCGCGTTAACTACTTCATAATAAATGGATAAGCACAAACTGCATAATTACACGACACCAGAGAAACATTGGCTCATATTGCAATAAAAATTGCATTACGAATCGAACATATTACGAATTTAAAAAAAATAATTTGTAATGGATTAAAACATTTCATTAAATTCAAATTTAAATATTTCACAAAAAAAAATATAAAATTTAACGACCTATATTTCGAAGTATTGATTCAATTCCTTACGTTATATTAGTTATAAACAACCGTAAATCGTCTTGACACATAAACCATGTACTTCATTTTTTCTAAAAAAAAATCGATCCAACACATTTAAAACATTGATATTGATTGAATATTTTGTCAATATATGTCAGTTTATATTCAAACACAAGTGTCAGAAAAACATTAAGGACAATTTCAATCAACAATTTACAAGATAATTATAATTTAGAGACATTGTATCGATTATAATCGATATCTTAATATTATGAAATTAACATAATAGATTTATATTGAATACATATCGGCCTAATAAATAATTTATAGTAAAAAAATTTAAAAATCCATAGGAAACTATTAAGGTAGTATGCTAGTGTAGAAGCATGAATTTTAAATCATCGTTAAAAAAGAGGCAATCAATTGTTTTTAAAGTACATAAAAGAATAAAAACCAAAAAATATTATAAATTTTAATAATTAGCAGTGGTTGAAGTGGGGGTCTCAAAAAGTTGACACGTGACCGAAATAAAAAAAAATATTAATGAATTAATTAAGTCAACAAATAATTGACTTTGAAATTTGAAGTGAATTTTTGAAAAAATGGTGACTTCAATTCAAAGGATTAATTTCTTACAACTTTTTTGAGTTTCTCGAATTTTTCAAAAATAAAAAATGTTAAAATTTAAAGATGGGGCTAATGTATGTCTGAGAGAAATCTATAAAGAAGATTCTCCGAAAATTTCAAGTAAATCGTTCCAGTAGAACTCGAGTAATCGTGGGCATCGTATTGAAAAGACAGTTTTGAGAAAAACGCATTTAAGTTTCGCAAAAAAAAGGAAACATAAGAGGATTATCGTGGTCAAACTGACGTAACTCCGAAAATAATTTAAATTTTAAGAAATCCTCTTGCATACACATTCTTAAATAGTTAAATTTTGAAAATATGAAAAAAAAGAAACTATTTTTTTTTTAATTTCTACACTAAACTACTCTCTTTTTGTAACATTCATATTGCATATTATCCGGATAACATTTAGCATGGTAAGTTGAAATTTTCATTTATAAGAATGATCAAACTTTGACATATTTAAATATCAAACACAGACAGAACATTTCATACTCATAACTTACTCAAATTTTACTGGCTTTTTTCAACTTAGTGAAAAATATAATAAAGGGGTAGTGTAAACTAGCAAATATTTAAATAAAATGTAACTATAAATTTCGAAAACCTCAAATTTTCGCATACATTTTCGATTAATAAAATGAACTTTTTATAAATTCTGCACATTGGAACCACTTGTTACAAAAACTCTTAATGTTTCTTCATTTATTCATTAGTACTAAGGTAAGAGTAAGAAGTAAATTTATTATTCCATTTAGAATGAAATTTAATAAAATTTATCTCAAAATTAAATCACGCGTAATATTTTTTTTCAAAATAAGATATATAGATAATAAAACTTTGGGCTAATATGGATAAATATATAGTAACTTCAAAAAATGTCTCAAAAATGTTAGTCTAATCTTCAATGCCTTCTAACTTTTGTTTAACAAATGAGTTAATTGTCCTTAATGAGTTTCCGTTAAATCGTCCATTGCTTAACTAATTAAATAAATTAGACTTAATAGAAATAAATGATCTAGATCAATGGTGAATATCTTACCCCTTGGACTGGCGACATTCGTTCTTCGTCGTCATCTTCACTCCCCGTCGTACCGTTGTATTCGCATTTACTACCCGAACCAGACTCACTAGTGGAATGCTTTCTCTTGCTTTGTATCGACAATTTTAAACCAGCTTTGATGAGTTGCGAACATGTCTATTGTAATTGTAACATTGAAAAAAAAACATTTAAATATCCTGTTATGGAGACCATATCTGAATTAAATATATATTTAAACTAAAATACTACTTGAAATTTATATATATATATATATATATATATATATATTTATATATATATATATATATATATATATATATATTAGAGATGGGCAACTCACTCATCCGGTACAACTCCTCCCTCGGAGTGAATCCGAGAGGAGTTCTTTCACTGGATTCGTCATATCCTACTTTCCTAAACTGGTACTATATCTATTAACATGTGCAGATATTTGCCTGAGATTTTTTTACTAATACAAAGATTCGGGTCGAAAAAAGTGGTCTTTTTCTCGTTCACAACCAGTTTTAGGACTTTCTAGGTATATAATGTCTTAAAATAATGCTATTTTGAATTCTATATCCTGTATACGATAACCTTTGTCCGTAAATGAGCTTTTTCAATGGTATACAACTAGCTAAAAAATCTTTAGTATTTTATTATAACTTTTACACAATTATGATTTTATAATTGTGTAAAAGCAATAGTATGCTAATCAACCTACCTAATGTATAATAAATTTTTGAAAAGAAAATAATTAAAGAATGTGAGAAATTATTATTTTGTGAAATATTTATACAAAAAGATTTGTTCTTATTACATATATAATGTTCACTGCATTATTTTCATATAAATATAAACATGTCCAAAGAATTCTATATTTTCTCTTCAAAAATAATTACAAAATTGATTTTGATTTTAAAGTTTTTTGTCTATTTGAGATTTGTATGCATATTAATATAGTAATTATTATAATAAAATGAACAAAAATGTTTGGACTATTTGTAAACGATTTCCAAAGTCTTAATAAATCCTTAGATATGTTAACACACTATAGAACATTGTGTCAAGTATTATGTTTCGAAGTTGTCGGAGTTGTGGAGTTGTTAAGTGGATATAACTCCTCTCTGAAGCGGAGTCAAATCCTAACCGATCCGGCTTCGGATATGATAAGCCCACCTCTAATATATATATATACATATATATATATATATATATATATATATATATTAGAGTTGGGCTTATCAAATCCGAAGATCGGTTAATATTTGATTCCGCTTCAGTAAGGAGTTATATGCCCTTAACTCTGACGACTCCGACAACTTCTAAACCTAATACTCGACTCAAAAGTGTTTTATAGTGTTTTGTTCATATATCTCAAGAATTATTAGGCATTTGAAAATCGTTTACGGACACTTCAAACATTTTTCTTCAGATATATTATTATAAAAATGCATACAAATGCATTTCAATATGCATACAAATCTCAAATAGTAAGCCGAATTTGAGACAATAAAAATATTGAAATATCATGGCAATTCTCTTGCTATAAAGGGTCACTAGGCTACCAGGCGACTGGATAATTTATGAATAGATAAATGTCAATAAAACAATGATTAACAAAAAGATTACCAATAAATGTTGAAATGTAAAAAGTTTTGGCAGGCCATCGAATCAATGGCTTATATTTTTTGCAGTGTTGACCAAACAAAAACGAAAAACTTTAGAATCAAAATCAATTTTATAATTATTTTTGAAGAGAAAGAATAGAATTCTTTGAAAATTTTTATATTTATATGATAATTATGCTGTAAACTTTATGTACAAAATAAGAACAATTCTTTATTAATTTCTCCTATTATTTCCTGTTCGAGAATTAATTATATATCAAGTACTTCGATTAGCATACTATTACTTTTACACAATTGTAAAATCATAATTGTGTAACAGTAATGATATAATACTAAATATTTTTTGCTGGTTGTATACCATTGAAAAACGTCTAGGTACATTTTGTACCTAGAAAGCCATAAAATTGTCTGTGAGACGAGAAAGCGACCGCTTTTTTCCAAGAATATCTTCAAATTAATACAAAATCTCAATCAAATGTCTGTACGTGTTAACAGATTTAGTGCCAGTTTAGGGAAGTCGAATATGTCAAAATCTCCGATACAACTCCGCTCGGATTCACTCCGAGGCAGGGGTTATATCTTCGGATATAACTCACTCCGGAGTTACCCAACTTTAATATATGTGTGTGTGTCTGTAAATGTGTGTAAATTCAAATGTATTTCAACATAGTCAACAATTTTACAAAAAATAGAACATGAAGATAGATTTTCTACAATAAAAATACCTCATTATTTGATAAAAATGCAAATTAACTATTGAAAATAGCAGTCACCTTTGTTAGTATTTTTGGCGTTATTTGTTTTTGCATTTCTGAATTAAAAAGTGAATAAAGAAACGAACAAAAATTAACTGTTTTCTAAAACATCAAACCAACAAAAATAACTTTTTGTATCCAACTGAGCCCGACGCAACTTTTTTTTCTAATAATGAATTCAGAAATGTGACTTGTAGATAATGAGCTTGCGATTCTCAATCAAATAATTATTAGAAAATTTACTAGATTCCTTAAAATATAATACTAAATGTGTTGAAACTGTTGTGATGTTTTTGTAGGACATTGAACGAAATAGTAAAAGAAAAATTAAGTACGTAAAATAAATAAAAAAAATATTTAAAAAGGGATAAAAAATAATGTAAGTGGTTAAATAGAGAGGTCAATAAAATACATATGAAAAATTGTCAATTTTGCCAAAAAATAAAATAGGTTTCATGTATTTTAAACTGATAATTAGCATAAAATACAAGCATACCGTCTGACAATAAGAATTTAATTGAAACAATACGTGTTCGAACAATATATAGGTCACAGAATACGGTATGTTGTTTACTATATGTGAAGTTAGTTTCCCAACAATAATATTTTGAATGCTCATAGTTTCATAGTTTATAATATAACTTAAGTTGAATTATAAATAATTAAGAATGATCACAGTTATACTTTTTTCGCAAAAGGTGTAAAAAATGTAACTAATAATTTTAAATCAATATTTGTTAGAACTTAATGTAGAAACGTGTGAAGCATAATAATATTAGAGCAGTTAATCAGTTAACAATTAAAATTCTTGTTTTTGTGGATTTTTTTTCATTAATTAGATACTTAAATGTTGAAACTGAATAAAAAGAAGTACATTTGCATTGTACACAAACAAAACAATAAAATTTAGAGGAAATATAACATCAGTAAACATCTATAGCTCTAGGTATTACTAATTAGATTTTGATCCTTACTTATTTTTATTATTAAAGAAAAAAATGGTTTCAATAATTCGAAGCTTCTAAAGATATCCCATATCCCGAAAACGTAGGAATGATTAATAAACCAAAAATTAAAATTTAATTTAATTTGATTATTTAAAAAAAGCTATTATATATATATATATATATATATATATATATATATGTAGTAGTATACAAATTATACCAATTATAACATTATTAGACCAAGAAATATGTTTCTGATAATGAATAATTGGATTACATCATCAATTCACATTCAATTTATGCACCGAAATTAATTAATTATAAGTTAATTTATTCAAGAAATTACAAATATGTAATTATATATATATATATATATATATATATACATATATATATATATATATATATATATATATATATATATAATTAACATATGAATTATTCATAAGTTGATTTGCACCGATAGATTGAAATAATAAAGATGTTAATGCTGTAAATTCATCATTTCACATAACTGCTTGCAAGATTTATTATCAATAAAATTTAATGATTAATTTTGTTTAATTAATTTTAATCATTATACTAGTGCTAAATAATTGTGTTTTATTTCATATCGCATGTGCGAGTTGAACCAATGGCCTTTATCCGATTAATTTTTATTGTGAAAACGTGTTATTGGGATAATTGAGATAAATTGACAGCAATTTATTATTATAGCGCGCCAAATAAAATAGAACTATAGACGTATACTTCATCGGCAAGTTATTGTCATTTTTCTGACAAAAAACAATTATTCAAAATTTAGGCCAAGTGTAACCAGAAAGAATACGTGGTCGAAATTTCGACATCGGCATCCAACACGTGTAGAAACCATCCTCAAGTACAAAGCTGGATATGAACGTTTGCGATTAAATAGTAGTAGAACTTAAGAAGCCTTGACCCGTCAAACTACTAACATATTACTTATGGCGCGTTCTTGAACGTCGTAACCCGAAGCTCGATCTGAGAGAAAAAATGCATCCGACCATTCAAATTATTACAAACATGGCGAATAGTAATTAATCTAAGCTCCGTTGGCGATGCTGACTCTTTGATGATGTGTTATTTCGGTTTTATTAATGCTACCTCTTAACTCGAATGATATATTTTGAATACCGAAAAAATCTCGTTTTCATACTTGCTCAATTCACAAAACGTTCATAATCACCGCTGATTAGTTTCTTCGGATTTGAGAGATAATTTATCAAACAACTAATTATAGGCGAAAGATTTCGTATGGCGGGAATAAAGGAAATAAAAATAGCAAAGGCAATGTCGAACAGACATTAACATATAGTTTATGAGCAAAAAAGCGAGAGGCAATAAATTGAAATTTGAAACATTCAAAACCATTCATTCGATATTGAAAGGATTCTAAGAGACGTGAGATACTGTAACATCGTATTACATCTCGAAACGGCAATTAACGTTAATATTATCACATGGATAAAAAATAGAATTATCAGCAATAGGAGATATTTATACTACTCTATCTATTACTTTTTTCTATAGTAATAGGTACTAAAGTCAGATATTCACGATTTATTTTTGGAAATAAACTCGTGAAAGTGAAAGTCTAAATGAAAATACGACCTAAATTGTAAAGGGAGCTCGTGTTCCAGTAAATAATCTTGATGGTCATGCCTTAATACAAATTGCTGAAACCGCAAATATCAAAATAATACATTTTTGAAGTCTTCGAAAAAATTTGACTTTTATTGTTTTTTTTTGTTTTAATTTTTTTTTTAAATTCTGGATTTTCAACTTCAACCAGTTGTTCATTTCGTCAAGTAAGATGTTTTTTAAATTATTCACATCGGACGCTCCGTTCTCTCAAAAACCGAATTACCATTTTTCTCACTTTTTATCCCGTATCATCGAACCTGCCTTTCATAGAAACTAATCAGCACGTCTCCCAATCAATAGGAATTGAATGTTTGCATTCAAATCGGTACATTCATTCATTTTTTTCTAAGGTATGCCAAAATTTTCAGAAGGCTTTGAAACGTTAAGATATATAAATATTTTCGTTTTCGATTTTTTTTGCGATTACTATAACTTACTCTATGGGAAGTTAAAACAAGCAAGCCATTGTAAATTTATATCTTTGAAATCTTCGGTAAAATATAAAAATTATATTCAATAATTACAAATGCAATGTTTATATGATAAAAAGTTTGATACATTTGGTCCACATTCTGATGTCTTTTTCTAAGTTTTGTATTACTTTTTATACGTTATATATACATGAAAGAGTTAACACAAAGTGTAAAGACTTTTCTAATTAAATTTTAAACTGCCAACATGTGCGATTTTTAAAGAATGAAAAAATATAGCAAAATATTTTAAATAAACTGAAAATGCACAAATTTTCATCGTTACCAAAAAGACTAAATCAAATCTTTTTTTTTTAAACGGAATGTGTGCACTGAATGAATCTGTACATGTCCACTAACAATAATGGCAGAGTATGTGATATTTATCTGTCGCAAAAACAAACTGATGTATTTCAAATATTGACCCATAGTTTTATCATATAAGCCAATAGTGAAACTCTGTACCTACAGATCTGCTTGGCGTATCCATAATATTCAGCAAATAAATGTTATTTTTTATTCACAAACATGAACGATGTGATATTTGACTAACGTATGTTATGCACGTTCCAACCAGACTTTGTTTAACATGCGCGAACGGTCCGAGTCGTTTTCGGGCTAGAGACCGAAGGAAGGTATCAAGTTTAAACCAAAACATATTAAATTAAGAAATTTTAATTCGTGGAAACATGCTCCATCTTGGATATCGACTGTTTTTTCAAGCAACTCGCCATAACGAAACGAAAAAAAGGTAACAGGAATTTAAAAAAAAAATAGAATCTATAACGTCCATAATATAATCCGTTGATAGCATTGATAAAAAATCATGCGGTCAATCATGAATATGCAACAGGTATTATAAAGCATCTAATTACTACTAACAGAAATTTATAGTTTATGTCATAAGCGCATACTATACAAATATAGAATCTATAAAACAGCAACGATCTTAAAACTAAAATAAATCAACTGAATGACCGGTAGCCAGAATATCATACAAGAAGCAATAACTTTTCTTATGGCTTTTTGAGTTTATGTAAAGAATAGTTTGCATATTACTTGTATCAAAGTAAAATTTGTTAAAAGTTGAACTAAAAATAAAACTCTATATTTCAGTTGTAATTTGAATTATGAATATGATTACAAAACTCCTCTTTTAAGCATATATGGAAGGTCATATAAAACGCCCACAAAAGTGTAGGTAAAAAGTATAATGAAGAAATCTCTTAGCTCAAGAAAAATAATCAAGCACAGTAAGAGTTTAAATTTGTAATATTGCAATTTCTTATATATTCTTTCAAATTTACTTTTACGAATTACATAAGTTGGTCTAACTACTGCATTACATTTTTTGCAGCATGAATGCTATTTTCAAGTATTTAAGAAGTAATAAAACATGAACCATATGCCACACGTAATAAGTGTGCTAACGCAATGTTAAATGCCACGTTTTGTATTATTGAATATACTTTTTATTTATTTTACCAAAGTGTTAAAATACATTAATATACCATAACGTTTTTGAATTTTGATATTTGGTTTAGTATTGCATTTCGAATAAGTTAAAATTCTAGAACTAAAAGAAAAGAATAACAACTGTTAATTGAGCTAATCATAGTTGAGAAAAGTCATTCACATGTATCATGAAATGACTTCTGTATTTTAGTTTTATTGCCGTAGGTTAAATATTTTATAAAAACTTACAAAAATAAAGGTACGTGTATATGCACAAAATCGTCAACTATTTACCGATAGAATTTTTTCTTAGTAATTTAACTATGAATTTGCAATTAAAATAAAACTAAAAAATAATCTAACACAAATATTTTTTAATAATTAAAGTCATTGTTAATTCTTTTTAGCAACAATATTTATCGCATTATACTTATATACATGCGGTGTGTAAATAAAGAAGAGATTAGATATGAATTGTAGGTGTCATCGGTTTACATAACATTTAACAAGAGATAATAAAATAATCTTTTTTATTATTATCGTCGGGGTTATTTATTTTGCGTTGAAATTTGATTAAATGTTTTATTATATTTGTGTTTATAATAACTGATTATTGGGTAATTAAAATCTTTGGTTAATTATTGGTACGAATTTAATTACAATAAAAAATAATGAGGACGTTGTAGAATGTGGAAAATATTTTAAAACTAATTATGTGTTAATGTGTGAATATATGTATAAACAAATTCGGAACTTGAATATATTGTGATACCCATGTAAAATTTGTTTTGACTATCAATATTAAATATTATAAACGTTTATTAATATAATTAATAACTTTTTAATTATTTCATTACGCGTTTAATTAAAGGGATATTCTAATGTAGATACATAAATTTAAGTCATCATCGTAAAAAAGACAATATTTTTTTCACTATTATTTGTTTAATAATTCATTTATCAATGTTTCAAAAGTACAGAAAAAAAGTCAATTTTAAGAGTTGTTGTTAAAGTGGAGCGTCTAAAAAATTGCCACGTGACCATGCTACGATTGCAACCCCCCTGTATTGAAGTAAAAATGAAGATTACTAATCTAAAATGTTGTCTCTATGGTATATACTACAAAAAAGTTAAAAATCGAATTTTGACAATAAATTTGAAAAAAAAGACAGTTAGGATATAGTATAGGATATAAAAAATGAAATATTGTAGGTGGCTAAATGCTCTAAGTAAGCGTGGTCAATAAAAATAAATAAAATAGAAATAAATTATATATATATATATATATATATATATTAAGAAATCATGATATACATATATAATATGTAGGTCATCACCTGTTGAACACTATTGGTGGGTGTAGTGGCTTCCCTCTGCTGCCTCTCCTGGAGACTGCAGTCCAAAGGGTTGGTCATAGCGATCAAAGAATTCAGAATTTCCGGGGTTCGCGGCGTTACGCTCGCCCCGGCTCCCAGACACGTATCAACCGCCAGCATGTTCCCGTTGTTATTCGACACCGGCGTATACATTATATCGATTCTTGTTTCAAACTTAATTCGTTTTAAATAATAATATATAAATCTCTATATCTAAGTGCCGTAAATCTATCACTATCCTAGGTAAGAATACTATCACAACTTGATTGATCACTGATCACACACACACGCGTGACTTGACGATATGTGGCAAAAAGGCGCGACAACTTTGTCGTTTTTTCCCTCGTCTGGATGCGGTGTGGAGGCTCGCGCCGATGTGATTTTGGAGGTTTTTTTCCCTCCAGTGAGGAAGGTCCGAGAAGGTTGTCCGTTGATTTTGTTTCTTTCTCGGAATCAGACTGGCGTCCGAGGATGTGTTCGTTAGCTTTTTTCTGCGATTTTTATAACTGTGCCCGCTATGCTCGAATCTTGCATTACGAAGTAATTTGCGATAGATATTGGATCTGCAAAATGCATACAGAAGCATATCATTAGGAAGAATACATCACAATAAGATAATAATGTGCTCGATAGATTTCTTGCTGGCTACTAGAATTATTCATTTGGCGCACGTTCAAATCTTACGAGACCAGTAATTATGCAATTTGTAATTTAAACATGCAATTGTCACCGCAAAATTCAAAGACAAATTTTGGCTTTTGATGTTGAACCAACAGTTATATTACAAACATATCATTAAAACAGAAAATAGAATTATTATATTCAAATCACTATTTTATAAATCAATAAAGTCGCGGTGTAAAAGCAGAAAACACGAATATTTAGAACATCATAATTTATCTGAATGTGAACCACTTGTGACCGAACCATATGTAAACTCGTATATGGAAGAATAAAGTAGGATGAATATGTTTATATATGAGTGGGTGTGTTTCTTTATGGCGCATTAAAATATTTTAAGATTTTACAATTCGAAGTTTGTGCACACGGTTATTGTCATATTTTCTGAGAATGCATAAACAATTTGCGGCTTTACTGACAAATTGCACGTTTCAATCATGTGACATAACAAACATATACAAACGCCCTCATAGTGAAAACGTACATATTATATATATACATATACTGTAAACTCTCGCTAATCGAACCGGAGGTTGTCGGATTACTGGATTATATTGAAAAGTCAAAATATTTAACCTATGATATTGGAAATAATGTTTGAACTTTCAAAAATTTTCAAAAATTTCATTATAAAATCGGTCGCGAGGGTGTCGGATTAATCGAGGTGTAGAATTAGTGAGAGTCTACTGTAGTGGTTTCCAACTTTTTCGAACCGTGCCCCCTAGTTTTTTTGAAAAAATATTACTGCGCCCCTTTTGATTTTTCTAACAATATAATTTTATAAATACTGACATAATTTCTTTATCATGTTACAAATTTATATAAAATATTATGTAAAAATATACATAAAAATAATCATTTATTCAATAATTTTTTATAATATTTTAACGTTTTTGGTATATTTGGTAAATTTATATTTATTTTTAAATTTGTATTTTGAATGCAGTTGCACCCTCTTCTTGCAACAAACTAGCGCCCCCCTCTAGGGGTCGCGTCCCGCAGGTTGGAAACCACTAGCCTACAGTATAATATAATATATATATATATATATATATATATATATATATATATGTGTGTGTGTGTTGTGTGTGTGTAAAAATGGGTGTGTGTAAAATTACTAAAACGTGGTGTTCTCACACTATAAACCTGAATTAGGGTAGAGCACCATTAAGAACATTAATATATTTGTATGTGTAGTAGGTATGCGTATATACATATACAGTAGAACCTCGTTTATTCGGCACTCGGTTATACGGATTCGCGATTATCCGGACTCTCAACCGCGACCAATTTATATGTATGTACATAGTACATACCTACAAGTCGAATTTTTGCACGATTAATGCTACAGTTTAGTATATGTATGTAATGTAATCTAAGAAATTATTTATGTACATAAGAAAATATCAATTTCTTAATAAAGATTATTATCGTTGATGACTATGTATGTATTTGTTATTTTTAATAAATACATAACATTATTTTTCACACATTCGATTATCCGGATTTTTTATTATCCGAACGCCAATCGACAATAATTAGTCCGGTTAATCGAGGCTCTACTGTAATTGGTTTTCAAACGCATGCAAATATAAATTTATATATTTATAAACCAAATTTTTAATATATTATGTCATAATGTGTTTGCTAACACCAAAATATAACATTTTATTTTATGTCAATGTGCAAAAAATGACAAATATGTTAAAAATGTCAAATCAAAAAGCATCCTGTGTGTTAAATAACACTTGCCCTTTCCGTTAATGTGACGCCACACCCCACGTGTGGCGCTCTTCAAATAAATTTGAAACTTTATATTACCACAATGACAGCATGTCCATTAAAGCAGTTTCGATAGAATTATAGTAGATTATCCATAAAATCATATTTTGCACATTGACACTTAATATAATACTATGAAAACACAAAAAAATTAAAGTATCAAAAAAGCTCACCTCACTGCCATAAACCACCTGTGATCGGCATAGCACAGGACACTAAACACTCACTAAACGAACTTAATTGTGATACACGCGGCTTTGTTGCTGCACAGACAACCCGGTACCGGCTTTTTCCTCTTTTTCACACACTTTTCGCAATACTTGTCGCGGCTTAGTTTAATTATATCAATAATAACTTCATTACTGACACAAATTTCAGCGTTACTTCTATCGCACATTTCATATGAGAGACAAACAAAACCAAGATTCCTCTACCGCGCCGCGCTAGCGCTGTTGTATACAACCAAACCCACATAATCTACGTGTTATTGCTACTATAAATAGAAATGACGACATCTACGCGAATCTCGATTGGTTGAAAATTACGTCAACGGACTGTCCGATTGGTCGATAACAAGTCACGAATTCATTCATACGCAAGGCCACGGTTTGAGAATGTGTTGGTCTAATTGTTGCGGATGTGTGTGAGATATTATACGCATGTGTGCGTTCCGTGTTTGAAGCTACATCGCGAGGCCAAACCGTACTAACCCATATGTTATATAGCGGCTTCACACAATACATACTTTTATAATAATGGTCCATATGAAAATCGACACATTTTTTTCTCTAACAAAACTTTATGCGCTTCAAATACTATATATTCCGATGTTTATCTCTTTACGCTTGACGTTACCAATAGCTAGGAAACTTTTCAACCGGATACTTCGAAACTTTTCTCATGATTTTGTATCGGACTGTTCGATTTATTTTAAGTAATCTCTTCCCTATACTTTGGGTGGATGTTTGCTCCAATTCATATTGAACTAAACAGATAAATAACAATTCTTGTCAATTTATCCTGATATAGGGTTCGGCGGGGCACAAAGGTACAAATTGACTTTAAGTAATTATATTGTGAAAATCAAACCAATAATATCACAGAAATAACACATATCAAACAAACAACTATTTGACTATGTACAGTAAAACTCCCATCAGGGAACGTTGAAGTATTACGTAAGCAGATTTAGTACAATTATTTACCCCCCCATCCCCCTTGTCAGCAAAAGTAAGCAAAGCTGTCACCAAAATTTCACCCAAAATAAGCAAATCAAAACCCCCCCCCGCCCCTCTATAGTGCTTACGTAATACTTGAACGGCCCCTCATTGCAGAAATGTGTTTTTTTGCTGTTTTTCAAAAATGTGTAACCTGGTTCTTTTTGTCCCATAATTTGGCGTGAATTGGGTCGGACAAGGCTAACAGGTCCAATGTCATATTTTAACCCTTTCCACTCGCGAACTCCGAGATTTACATGTATTTTGCCGCCGGAGCGACGGCATCCGAGTGGAAAGGGTTAAATAACCTTGATCTGTTATTTAGTCAAAAAAAAACGTCAGCAGACTTGAAATAACTATTTATTTATCTCTTGTAAAAAAGCTTTTTTTAACTCTATTCACTTTTTTGCTATTTTTTATTTTCTACACCTTTGCCAGGGTAAAATGTTCAGTTGGCTATTTTTACCCCAACCACGTGTAAATTTTTATAGAGGTTATATAACAAAAACTGTGGAATCTAACTTAAATTTAACAATACATCTTATAAAATAAATAAATTACGTATACTTAAAAATTATATTAAGACCACGTAAACTAAGCAACAGTGCTCACAAACAAAAATACAAACAACGAAAGGAAATACTTTTGTTATGGATTTTGGGATATGGCCCTTTAGCATATCTTCCGATAGCAACGTCGTAAGAATCAATGTATTGGCTGTTTATACATCCTTTTCCCTTTACTTTCAAATATTGTTGTTAAAAATATTTCTAAATTCACTTGTTTTTGAGATGTCGGTGGTGGACTTTTTTATCCGCTCTACCCTATCGCACCTTGAAATGTCTGACGGGATTATCTATAATCGTCGCTCAATGAAAGCGCCATTAGTATATTATTAAGTTTGATAAATAGATAATAATAATCTATTTACGATAATGATTGGCAGTCAATCAATGAACGTTGATACGAAAACAAAGTTATCGAACAGTGTTATGCAGCCGAAAGAGTATGTACGAGTATAGGTAGGAAGAAAACAGCTGCAACTCTTCCGGATAGCTTATAATCGAGTAGGAAGAAAATGCATATAATCTATTTTAAAATTACTGCATGGAATATTTCATGATTATTCCCCAGCAGATATGAAAGGTTTTAATTATCAGCTACACAGTCTGTATATTGTTTATGAATCAATAAAGCAGTCAATATTGTTTTTTTTACATATACACATATTTGCGTATACACAAAAACAACACGATAATATTTATCGCATATAAATAAATAATTCTTAGCCTAAGTTTTAAAAAAAACTTAAGTATTTTCTCCATTACGATTTTATCTACGATTCTGAGACCTTCGTGGCGAGTAGTAGTGGTTTGCAATCAGGCGGATCCCTATCACCAACAACCTCAACATCGAGCAGTAGTTATATAAATTTTCACTTTGGATAGATCTTAAATATGTTTCGAAGTGGAAACAGCTTTTCCAGGGCATTGCTGCACCAAAATAAATAATAATAAGTCAGCCCTGTTAGATAAATTCTAACAATAAAGTGATCAAACATGGATGGATCAACCGTTGGGTTAGAGTTAAATACGACGTAAGGAGAAGTTTCAGCCTAACAGCTTGTAGGACGTAAGGGGCTGCTTGCTGTTTAAAACTTACGATTCTACATATTAATATTTTTGAAAGGTGTCTTCAATATTGTATAAAACAGTTTACATCAGTTACCTTTAATCATTTAAAAGTCGTTTAGCTGCTTGTAAACTTGGCATATTGCCATAATGTAGTAACCCAAAAGTCTTTAAAGTTTGCTAGATGATTTGAAGGCTTTTTATTAACACTTGATTGGTATTAGCAGAAAGTTCAGCGTCATCCAATTTATGGAAGATTTTATATGCGTATAGATATAAAGTTCAAGATAAAATTAATAAATTTTGATATAAACACATAACTAAGCAGTTGCAAATTATTCATATAGTTGTTTGATGAAAAAGATAATTTTAAAATACTAACTAGAAGAATTTAAGATAAGAGTTCTTTATTTACTTGTTGTCATTTTCTTTATTTATTTGTTGTCATTTGTTAATTTCTCAACGACAAAGCGAAATAATAAATAATCAAAATTGAATAGCATGCAATTTTTTCAAGTTTATTCCTTCAAAAGTTATCATCAAAAATTGAATAAGGATTGTCAAAAAACAGTTTTAGGCCTTTTCCTTTCAAACTCAAAACTTGTAAGTACAGTATCTCGTTGCTTACAAAAACTAAACCCATTTAATGATCATTAATTTTAAATTTAACTGATTGATTTTGCACTAATAACAAACAACTAATAAATACACTAAAATACCGATAAAAACTTCTAGAGTGAACGTGTTCGATACACAGAATAGAATATAATAATTTTTTTTATTGAATTGACTCTTGAATATCCAAGTAACAAAACTTCAACTTTTGGTTTTCATTGTCAGTTTTTTATAAAATATTTGTACTATATACGAGGTCTGTTCAAAAAGTACCCGGAATTTTCGTTTTTTCAAAAAAATATTTATTTATTCGTCTACATTAATGTGGTCCCCTTCAAAGTAGTCCCCCCCAGATATAATACACTTATGCCAGCGTTTTTTCCAATTTTCGAAGCACCCTTGATATTCACTTTTTGATATGTCCTTGAGCACTCTCAGCGATTTTCTTCAATCGAGGAAAACCGCCGTCCTTTCATGGGTCTCTTCAACTTTGGGAATAGGAAAAAGTCACACGGAGCCATATCTGGTGAATTTTTGCACTTTGCAACACTTTATTTCATTTTTTACGCAAAATTTAATACAAATTCTTTGACTTTTCAATTCTTCCATTGTAAAAATCGCCGAGCTCAGAAAAACACGTCGAACCTTAGCGACTACCACAGACAAAGTAAACAGTGAATATAGCTGAAAATTTCATCATACTTTAGGGGCATGTATACCAACACAATAAAAAAAAAATTTTGACAATCAGACACTCCAGACCCGCGAAATTTAATTATTAGTAATTCCGGGTACTTTTTGAACACACCTGGTATATATATATATTTGGGTGTTAATTTCATGTCAATGAAAAGTGTATATAAATTAAATGCATTTAATGTTTAGTACATATTAAACATATAGCATAAATTCCTAGCAATGTTTTTAAAAATTCATCACCCGGATACCACGAAAGTAAGCAATTGGTATTTAATGTATATTGACGTAAACAAAATTGCGTAAAATGATTTCTTGGAATCCAATAAGCAACATGCAAAAAGCGATATTAAATTATTAAATTTGTCTCTAAGCACCTTTTCAAATAATGCATGAAAACTTATTTGGCATTTTTGTAATTGTATTTTGAATGAAAATATGCCCAATTAGAAAAGCATTTAACTTAAACCCATCTATTAAATTAAACAAAACATTGAAAGTTAATCGAAACCGAAATACATAACGGGCCAAAGCTCCACTTATTCTTTGTGTATCATTCCACTATTCTATCAGTTATTATAAATGAGAATTGTATGCTGAACGTTAGAATACGAAATGAGCAACTCTATACCACGATACACTGATCGCCAAACTACGGCTCTTGGGACAACTAAAATAATAAAAGACTAGTAGTGTATAGAATTTGACTCGAATTATAATATATTGATTAAATAGAAGAATGTGGACAGATTGAAATCGAAATTTTTAATTTTAATTATCCAAAACTTTAGAAATGTCGTAATATTCTTCTACGTATTTTTTATTTTTATTATATTATATTATATTTTATATTTTTAGTAGGGGAAAAAATCGAAATTATTTATAATACATGCTAATTCATAGGCTATAAATATCTACTTGTATCTAATGTAGATTATATGAAAATAGAAAATTATTGCACAAAAGAAAGCTTAACTTTTTGTTACATGGAAACTTAAAAGCCGTCAGAGTAGAATATATATGCAAATACTTTGAATTTTTTTCTTTTATTGGTAGGAAACTGAAAATCGCAATATAAAATATTTTTTTTGCAAGCATGTACACAATTTTGATCACAATATGGCAATTCGATCTCTTTCGGAAAAATTAGAAAGTCCGTGCAGCTTCACTCGAAAATCAATGGAAACTGCATACTTAAAAATGGTAAAAATGGATCAA